TTTTTTTTTTTTCTCCTCTTCTTTTATTTTCTGTCAGTGGCCGGCGGGGAGATGAGGGGGGCGGCCGTCCGGTGCTGCGGTGGGCGCGGGGCTGCGGGCGGGGATGCGGCGGGGCCGGGCCGGGGCCGGGGCTGCCCGCCCTCCCTCCATCCCTGCTTCCCCTACCGGCGGCGGGGCCGGGGCTGCCCTCCTTCCTGCCCTCCCTCCCTTCCTCCCTCCTTCCTTCTCTCCCTCCCGTACCCCCCGGGGCTCCGGGCATCCTCCGCCGCTCGGATGCTGCCCCTCGGCCGGTCGTTAATCCTATCATAGAGCTGACCCCCATTTTAACGCCTTTTAAAAAAAGCCCTCCGGGCGCGCTGCTCTTTTTTTTTAAGGATAGAGCGAGCGTCGCGACGGGATTTGGGAGGCTGCAGTTTCATGTGGTAACTTTTTAAGTTTTCTGCCTCAAGTCTGGCGGCTGGTTGCCTGCAGCAGGGAGAAAAAAAACACCCCCTCCCCACCCCACCCCCAAAAAAACCCCCAACAAAAGCCAAAACCGTGGGGGTGCTGCTGTCTGCCGTGTCGCTGGTGCCCGGTAGAAGTGCAGATGTGGAAGTGAACTGATTGACATCTGTTCTGCGAGGTTAATCAATAATCAGAGTGATTATTCATGTAATCCTAAATGCGTTTTTATAGACCGCACCGAAGGCTTTAAGTACGTGGGTAAGTTACGGTGATAGACTTTATACAATATATGTTGAGTTCATACAGTCTATGTGGTCCTCGGAAGATAAAATTATTTCTAGCAAGCTTTAAGTATTGTGCTCCTCTCACTGGGGTAGTGTGAGGTAAGCTGACTTCTTTCCTAAGTGTTGATAAAGTTTCTTAACTCGAAACTCAGTAGTAAAACCAAGGTCATTATGCCTACTGCCAACTTCTCTTACTACTTTTTAAGTACAAACGTGATTGCTGGTATTTTTTTCCTTCGCCTATTGCTATTTCAAAAGCCAAAGCCTGGGAGGTTAGACCGTGGTGGGAAATTCAACTGTCCCAGGAAGCTAGCTATGCCTAATGTCAGTAAAGTACATTACTGTTTTAATTTTTTCATCATAACAGTATGTATACATGAAAATGGAAATGATCACTAAAGACAGTGCTTCTAGATTCATGCAAAGGCATAGATATTAGTAACTTAAAGTGCATCCTGTACCCTGGTGACCTGTCGAATCTTAGCTACTCTTGAAATTGATGAATTCTGAATAAGAAGTTAGTAAGTTGGTATTTTTGTTTGTTTCCCCCCCACACTTCTTTCTGCTGACTCAAAGGAGTGCAGCCCAAACTTTCCTGGCATCTTTTAATGCTTGCAGTGGATGCTTTGACAGGGGTGCAGGTTGACAAGAACACTTTTGTATAAATGCTAATTAATCAAAAATCAAATAGCATGAGGAAGTATCTTTTTGGAGAACTTAATTGAAAAATGTAATGAGTAATTTTGCTTACTTGATCAGCGTTATTTCACATTTGCTTTGAAACCACTTTTTGGAAAATTTCAAATGAAAATTAAGAAAGCTCTCACTGGTGTGAGCACCTCTTTTTTTTCTTCTTTTAATCTGTCAAATATGCTTACGAGGTTGTGGAATTGCTATTTAAGATGAATGTATGGTTCCTATGGTCTCCCTATTCTCTTTAAACTTGTCTGATGAGTTTGTTTTGCAAAGTGTTTTTTAACTTCCATAAAGGTTTTGTTATTTCAGTTGAGAGAGTTGTATATTCCTCAGAGAGGAGTGGAAAAGGGGGATGCATCTGTTGGTGTACAGTGCTGAAATGCTAATATTAAAGACAACTGAAGGTTGACATTTATTCTGAGTAGAAATAGTGTAAGCAAAATGTATGTAGTTCTTAAACTGTACAAATCTAACATTACGAAGTAGAACCTTCATAATAAACTTGCTTGTTAGAGAATAAGGCAAAGACTAAGAGTACATTAAAGATTAATAAACTTTTAAAAGAAATTTTCTTAAGTAGACCTTTGTGGATGTTTCATTAATGACATGGTTGATAGTAACAGCCAGTTTGCTCAGTATGCTCTGAGTTACTAGATGTTCCCTGTGACTCTTCAGGAAGGCCTGTTTTTGGGGGAGTGGCTTAGAGGTGTTCTTTTTCTTATTAGAAGATGCTAAGTAATTTCTGAGAATTGGGCTCAATTGGAGGATCTCTGAACTGTTCATTGAAAATGCAAGCTGTTAAGACCATGATTGGTTAAAACTGCCATAGCATGGAAAAATTAAAGTAAAATAAGTTAAAACTTTTCATAAGCTGGCTTGTAACTTTTTGTTAAACACCCTTCAAAATAACAAGAGGAAAAGTAGTAAAACTACACTTCATTGGCCCTAATACAGAAATTAAATAAAGGGATTAATTTGTTTCTATGGAATACTGAGGCTAATTTAGATCCAAAACTTATAGTGATGGTAAGTATTTGGAGCAGGAAGGTTCTCTAGAAAGCTTTAAAATTTTCACTGTTTTGTGGCAAAGAGATTGGCTCTTTATTTAAGATTATTGCAGTTAGAGGAAAATGTGATTCCAGTTAAACTGATTAAATTCAAGGAAATTAGTAATGATGTGAGCTATAGTTTTTTTGTTGACTATTGAAGGCAGTCCAAGTATGTCTATAGATGTCTATTTTTCTTTAATTGAGGTTAGTGGCTTCCTTATGGGTTAGTAAGAGGAAAAAATCAGGAGCGACAGTAAACAGAACAGCTGAATTTGTATTTGCAAGTTAAATTCAGCTACTCCGATACCAGATTAAATCTTCAGGTTTAACAAGGCTTCTGAATTCTGGTAGATGATGTTCAAGCTCTTAAAGAGACATCAACCACTTGCATATTATTATCCTTAGATTTCTGGCTTTTTTTGATTTATATTCTGCATAGAGTAGAATTACATAGCTTACTTTTTCCTGTAGTTCCTTCATCAGTATCTGTTTCTAGCCCACTTTAAATTATGTACTTGTGGAAAATATCTAAGGTAGGCTTAGTATGAATTAAATTGTCCCTCTTTATGAGCTTACTGTTCACTGAACAAACTTGTTTACTATTAATACCTAATATAATCAGAAATGGGGAACATTTGTCAGAATTAAAAATGTGAAAATAGAAAAATATAAATCAATCTCATAGTTTCCTTGCCAGTTGTTAAATTATTATTTATTTGATTTGGTCTATAGTGAAGAAAATTAATCTGCTTAGGAACACTGTGGGGGGAAGGTAAGCAGTTAAGTATGCTGCCTCCTACCAGGGAATATTTATCAAGTTTTCTGCTGAACTAATCCTGAGCTAGCTGAAACACCTCTGGAGGTATTAAGTGATAAGCACAAGTGTGTTTAGATCGACTTTCTTTTAAAGGATATCCTGATTAAACATAATATTGTGTCAAAATGTGAGGATGAGTTAGTTATATAATAAAAATATGGCTACAACTGCTTTTTCAAGGTACAGCTCTTAATTCTTTCTTCTGCATTCATGAACTGTCACACAGAATTGCACTCTTGCTTTCGTTTTTTCTGCTGTTGACTATTGTATATCATTTGAACTTTTAATTTCATTTTGTGCCGCGTAATCTTCATGGAAGACTACATTTGAGAGACGTGGTTTGTTTGTTTTCTTGTCTCGTTTCAGCATGCGATAATAGACCCTATCTTTTCAGGTCTGTGGAGGAGACATTTTCACTGGAGTAAGAGGCAGCATTTTTGACACTCTGTCGCGGAGTGGGTAGGTGCAAAGGAAAAAAAAATATTGTGACTGTTCCTGTTGATACCGCTCTTCCCTGTTCTTGCTGTTTCCCTGTTAGCCAAAGTTGTTTAAACTCCTGACGGTTGCTGTAAGTGCAGCACCATCCTCGGCAGCACGTTTCTCTTCCTCCCTTGTGGTGCAGCAGTTGTCGGGTGTGAACTGCATAGTAAATTATTCTGGTACCACGCTGCCTTGCAGTCCTTAGTCACTGCAGGGGGAGCCGTGAAAACACGAGGGTGGGGGATGACATGACTGACTGACTGCCTTTGCTCGCTGCAGCCTTAGATCAGCTTAAACTGACCAGGAAACCACACCCTGAATTTCCTGTGAAAGCCAATAGAGTGAACACTCATATGATTCAATAATCTGACCATTATCTTTGCGATTAACTTTCGTAATCACACTGTACTGCGAGTAATTTAGTTTGCTGCCGTTCTTATTCATTAAAAAACGTGGTGTATTACAGTGGCATGTAAAGTCAAGGAGCAAACAGACCATTCTTTCTCAACAGCGAATACCAGTAGCAAAGGAATCAAAATAGTCTTTGCATACTTACACTCGTTGCAAGTGTGCATACTTCACACAAGTGCACAAGTGTATGTATGTTGGGGAGAGTGCTTTACCATTTAAACAGAACATTGTTATCTCTTGGGAACTGGGTTGCATTAGTAGAGGGAATTAGGATGGTCCAAAACCAGTTCAGGTTTAGGCAGAAATAAAACCTTATCATGTCTGCTGGTTTAGGATCAGACTTGGTGGAGAAATTAGGGACTGGTAACCCTTTTTCTTGTCTTTAGGTGGCATAATAGCTACGTGTGCAGTGGCACATAAGGAGGAAGTGAAATAACTTCAGTTTGTAATGAAGAGCAAGCCACCGCAGATCTGATCTGTTACACCTTGCAGAAATTTGTTTAAGAGTGTCACTCCAACTTCTGATTCTTGTTTATTAGATAATTCTTAGACTGCAATACTTTGGAGAAGGCCATAGATGTTTTTCAAGGGAGGATTCAAAGCACATTTGGGGACTTTTCCAGAGTGACAACATACTTCAAGGGCTGTATTTGAGTGTGGAAACTACCCTTCATGAGATAACAGACCCCCAAATCTTAAAGGTCTTTTCCAAACTAAGTGATTCCATGATGTTATATACCTTCAGCCTTTTGACTGTAGTATTTTCTAGGCTAGAAACACAATACTGTTTGGCAGTTGGCATGAAATACATGTTGCCACAGTGACCCCAAAGACCACTGCAAATTAAATTAATATAACATCTGAATATTTTACTGACATGTAATATTGCCAGGTGACTTGGTTTAATTTAGAAATTGCATGTAATCCCTCTTGGTTTCGCTAGGCCTTCTCTTCCTACCTGCCTTTGCCTGGCTTGATTAGGATTTGCTTTCTGGTTCCATTTCTAGGGGGGTTTTGGTTGTTCATGTTCTCATTCGTTTTCTTAGTGGTTTTTTTTGTTAGTTCATCTGATTCTGTTCTTTTATTCTCTAATTTGTCTTTCTTGCTGTATGTATATAGACAAGCTATTTCTTCTGATCTTGTGTTACCAGGAAAATTACTCAAGCTTCGCATCTGTTCCTTCCCCCCTTAGGTTACTTGTCCTTTCCCAAAACACAGGCATTTTGAAATCTGTAACAATTTGTTTGTAAAGTTATTCAGTGCACAGTCTTAAGTCCTTGGATGTGGTAGAAGCTGTAGTGCAAAACCTGATTTTTTGTGGAGGAAATTTCTCAGAAGTAGGTGACCTGTTCACTTTTTATTTGGTTTCTGTCAGTGCTACTGAACTTGTTTCTATCTAATAAAACTTGGTGGATGTATAGAAAATTTTGCTTTTCTTATAAAACCGGTCAGTTTCAGAACTTGAGTACAAACTGGAGACATGCAGGGTCTTTTGAGCTGTTTGGGTCTTTTTATGTATAATATTTTTTTTCCACTGGTCTTTCTTCTCCGGGTAACCAAGTATTTATAGGGATGTGGTTCCAAAGTGTGAGTGAAGGTATGGATGGCAGAACTACACATATTGTGCAATCTTATAGGTCAATTTAATGCGTAAGCTAAAGTAGTGTTTAAAGGAAAGATCAATGAGTATAGGTATCGCTTCCCAATAAACAAAATAAATTAGTGTTTACAATTCTATGTATTTTTAGATTTTTTTTTTCCCCAGGTTAAAAGCAGCTATCTCTTGCTTCAGAAACTGATTTGTCTTAATTGTCATGTATCACATAAGTCTGTCACTGAAGAAGGCTGCATCTATATATAATTTCATTTTATTCTGTATAACCCTTCTTTATCCACTAATGCACAATTTTCAATTGATTGAAATAGAGCGTGTGTATGTACAATGGCTCTGTTTTCTGAAATAGAAAAAAATGTAGGAAAGTAAAATTAAATACTTTAAAAATGTAAAAGTAACTTAAAAATATCTCCTCATTGCTAAGTCTTATCTACAGGATCCCATAACATATTTTCTGTAGGGAAATTGGCTTGCTACTGGCACTGCTAATGGCAATTTTGGTCTTACCATCACGTAAAATAAGTCTCAAGTGTATGTGTGTATATTTATATGTATAAATGCTAATAGGACTAATATGTAAATGCAAAGATCATTCAGCTTATTCTGTGTTCCCCTATTGCCTCTGCTCTCTGTTGCTTGTTTTTACTGTGTAATGGTTGGTCGCTGACTGGCAACTAGACAGTAATAACATACATACTGCCTTTGATGTAGAATCATCAAGGAATAAGATTCTGGTTCATGGGGAATTTTTTATTTTTGTGAGTTTTATTTTTGAGCCATGGGGTTCTTTTTTTTTTTTTTAAGCACAAAACAAAAGACATTTTTTCTGCATGCTTGTGACACGCATAGCCTAGTGTGTGTTCTTTTGGAGGAGCTCTTTATCATGATACTAGTTGCTACTTCAGTGTGTACCTTAAAAGATAGGGAGAGGGACTCAACAAGAAAAAGCCAGGTCTCAGCAGGATCCAGAGTTCTCAAAACATGCAATTCGAAGCCTAGATTAAAACTGTGTTCTAGACTAACAAGTGTTAACTACTTGATGTTTAAACAAAGCAATCTAATTTTAAACTGTAGACTGCTTAAAGGTGGTAACTCATTTAGTTACCAGTATTTTATAAAACACAGACAATATTAACAGGATGAGTGGATTGAAATGTTAATAAAATTCAGGAGTTGCATTTGCTTCATAGGTTTTCTTCTCAGAATCATGTTTCTCCCATAGATGGTTGTATGTTTGTGAGCAAAAAGGTAGAGTTAAAACTATAGAAGTCACCCTTAACAATAAAATGATCTTAGTGTTACTGTTAAATCACTTCACAGTATACTTTGATCAGGGGAAATGATTATTTTACTAACTGACTTGTGTGTCCAATTGAGAGTTGGAAGAAATTAAGACTGTTAGAGGATGTGTTATTATGAAGTAAAACTGAAGGGAAAAGTTCATTTTGTGTGAGTGGTGATATTAGGAGAAGGAAAAGTCTGACCATATATACTGAAAAGATGGAACATTCATTTAAACAAAAGATACAGAGGAGAATGTAAACAAAAATAGGGGTATATTAATGCTGAGTCTCCAGACAGTCTGAGATTATGACTTTGCCCTCATTTATATAATTAGTGTATTGATACCGAAGCTTTAATCTAAAGGATGATTCTTATAGTGGCTCGTTTACTACTAATTGTTCCAACAGATGAAGCAGAGTTGTGCTGAGGAACAGACACAGACCATTTGCATGAGAAAGTGTCATGCAGTGAGAAACTGATAAGGAACATTGCTAAGGAAGTGGGAAGGAAAAAAACACAGATGAGACAAAAAGGAGAACTGTGGGTATCATGGGTTTTTATTGCATACAACACAACTGTCCTAGAAAATATTTAATAGTAATTGAAAATTCAGCTTGTCAATAGAAGTATTATACTCTATTGTTGATCTTGATGCAAATCTTTCATTTATTAGAACAAGAGCTTATTCAAGTAATAATTTATATGATGCACATCATCATGCAGACTTTTATTACTTTCCAACCACTTGACTTCAAGTGTGCAACTCTTAGAGCTTTTAGTCCTAGAGTTATATGATTGTTTGAGAACATGAATCTTCCTTTTAAAAAATAAAAATTTTCTGGCTTTCGTTTTTGTGGAGAAAAGCTTTAAATGTGAAGCTAAAAATTGCTCAATGGGCAGACAATCCAAAATATGTTTCTTTAGAGTGTGATGGTTGAGAGTGGGCATTTTGTTTTAATTTTTTTTTTAGACAATTTGTAAGGATCTTATAATTTGTGAGTTAGGAAAAGTAGTTTTATGCTTTTAAATTGAATGATTGATCAGTTGAGACACAAATCCTTTTAGTAGCTTCCTGTGAATCCATGGTGGTTTTTACTTCATACTATGTGGAGATATTTCATACTTTAAAAATGAAATAACATGTTTTATGGTCATTTAAAAACTTAACTTGTCGCACCAGTTTTACAGCTCTTGATAATCACAAGGTTGCTTTTGTTGATGGTAGTTTATTTTACTACTTTGCTCTCCTTGCTCCACTGCAACCTCTCCCACTGACCCAGTTTAGTTGAGCAGTCTGGACATCATATGTTAGAAGAGGAGAAAAACCTCTGTGATAGTGGATCTTTAGAAAGGCATGATTGACATAAGTCTGTAATTTCTTTCATTATAATTATTTCTGGCATCTTCAAATTGCGTATTACAGAATCACAGAATGGTGTGGGGTTGGAAGGGACCTCTGGAGATCATCTAGTCCAACCCTCCTGCAAGAGCAGGTCCACCCAGAGCAGGTTGCACAGGAAATGTGTCCAGGTGGGTTTGAAATATCTCCAGGGAAGGAGACTCCACCACCTTTCCGGGCAGTCTCTTCCAGTGCTCTGCCACCCTCAAAGCAAAGAAGTTCCTCTTCATGTTTAGATGGAACTTCTTATGTTCAAGTTTGTGCCCATTT